AAGACTAAAAGTGTTGTAAAGCCTTTGGTAAGGTTACTATAAAAAAACAAGAGAAGGCAAAATAAATAATATGAGAAAAAGAGAGCACATAATTATATGGAGAGCAGAAAATTTTGAAAAAATACCAGAAACTTTATGCCTATACATTGAAACAATACAAAATGAAAACCTTTCCAGAAAAAGTTAACTTACCAAAGCCAACTTAAGAGAGGAAACCTGATAAATACAGCAATAACCATTGTAGAAGTTAAACAAGTAATTTAGTCTTCCCTCGAAGAGAAGAGCAGGTCCAGACAGTTTTGCAGGTGAGGTGCAACAAACCCTCAAGGAACAGATAATTCCAATCTTAAACAAAATCTAACAAAGAAGGGAAACGGGTAAGTAGAATCCTCAATACATTGTATGAGGCTAGAATAACCTTTTTTTTTTTTTTTTTTTGAGACGGAGTCTCGCTCTGTTGCCCAGGTTGGAGTGCATTGGCCCGATGTCGGCTCACTACAACCTCCGCCTCCCGGGTTCACACCATTCTCCTGCCTCAGTCTCCTGAGCAGCTGGGACTACAGGCGCCCGCCACCATGCCCGGCTACTTTTTTGTGTGTGTGTATTTTTAGTAGAGACAGGGTTTCACCGTGTTAGGCAGGATGGTCTCGATCTCCTGACCTCATGATCCGCCCGCCTTGGCCTTCTAAAGTGCTGGGATGACAGGCGTGAGCCACCGTGCCCGGCCTTAGAATAACCTTCATACTAAAACCAGGGAAAGCTGGGCGCGGTGGCTCACGCCTGTAATGCCAGCACTTTGGGAGGCCAAGGCCAGCGTATCACGAGGTCAGAAGTTCGAGATCGGCCTGGCCAAGATATGGTGAAACCTCGTCTCTACCAAAAATACAAAAATTAGCCGGGTGTGGTGGCATGCGCCTGTAATCCCAGCTACTCGGGAGGCTGAGGCAGAAGAATCACTTGAACCCTGGAGGCAGGGGTTTCAGTGTATAAGAGAAGAAAATTACACGCCAATTTCTAAAAAAATATATAAGCACAACAAATACATTATATTAAAAAATATAATCACTATGATCCTTTGGAATATTTTCTAGGAATGCAAGTGATTCACTATTAGAAAAATCTGTAACTTACCACCTCAACAGATTAAAGCAGAAAATGATAAACGCCTCAGTAAGATGAAGAAAAATCAATTCAGTAAACTTCAAGATTTACTCATCATTAAAAAACAAATACAAATACATAAACAAAAACAAAACAAAATCCCAAAACTCTACATAGAAAGTGACTTCCTGAAAAGGGTATAACTGCAGCTACTACCACATCTTTTTTTTCATGTTCCATGAAATTTTATTTCACAAAGGCTTGGACTCTGAAGACCCACAGTTACGGATCACTAAATCCAGTAAGTAAATGTAAATCCAAAATAAAGAGTTTTAGCAAAAAAATAAGAAGGTGATTGTTTTGTTTAAAAGAACAGAGTTATTTGGGAGATAGCTAGAACTGTTCCCTGAGGATTCATTTATAAAACATGCTTTAAGAGTTATTAGGAGATGGTGACTTAAAAAAAAATATAGCAGTTTTATCTAAATGACTGCAATATCACACCTTAATGATAAAATACAAATGCATTCCCTTTATAATCATAAACAAGATAAGTATGCTTGCTGTCATCACTTCTAGTCAACATGGTGCTGGAAATCTGAGCAAGGAAAGAAAAACAAAAGAAAAAGATAGAAGGATTAGACAGGGAGGGCAGGGGGCACGGTGGCTCACGCCTGTAATCCCAGCACTTTGAGAGGCTGAGGCGGTTGGATCACTTGGCTAACGTGGCAAAACCCCATCTCTATAAAAAATATAAAAATTAGCCAGGCATGGTGGCGCACACCAGTAATCCCAGCTACTCGGGAGGCTGAGGCAGGAGAATCACTTGATCCCAGGAGGTGGAGGTTGCAGTGAGCAGAGACTGCGCCACTGCACTCCAGCCTGGGTGACACAGCAAGACCCCTTCTCAAAAAAAAGGATTAGACAGGGAGAAACTAGACTGTCACCATTTGCAGATGATATGAATGTCTACGCAGCAAAGTCCCCAAAATATGCAAAGTAAATTACTTAAATTAATAAGGTAATTTAGATACAAAATCATTAAGCATCAGGTTTCTATACGTAAACAATAGTCAGAAAATAATAAGATTTATTACAAAGTTATGGTTATAGTTATCAAGACAGTATCAGCACAGGAATAGACAAATAGGTCAATGGGACTGAAAAAAGAGCCAATAAATAAACGTATGCATATATGTATAAGTAAACTTGATTTATGATGGCTGACATTATATCATTAGGGGAAAGGTCCTATAAATACATGAATCTGGGACAAGTGTTTGACAAGAAAAAAAAGAAAAATGGGTTCCTGCCTCACACCATACACAAAAATCAATTCCTGGTAGAATAAAGGCTTAAATGTGAAAAGCAAAACTATAAATTTTTTTTTTTTTTTTGAGACGGAGTCTTGCTTCGTCACCCAGACTGGAGTGCAGTGTCCGGATCTCAGCTCGCTGGAAGCTCCGTCTCCCGGGTTTACGCCATTCTCCTGCCTCAGCCTCCCGAGTAGCTGGGACTACAGGCGCCCGCCACCTCGCCCGGCTAGTTTTTTGTATTTTTTAGTAGAGACGGGGTTTCACCGTGTTAGCCAGGATGGTCTCGATCTCCTGACCTCATGATCCGCCCATCTCGGCCTCCCAAAGTGCTGGGAATACAGGCTTGAGCCACCGCGCCCGGCCAAAACTATAAATTTTTAAGAAGAAAATATAGGAGACTATGTCTATGACTTTAGAGCACAAAAGGGTTTCTTAGACAAGACCATAAGGCAGTAACAATAAACAAAAGGACCAAAACAAAATTTTACAGATAAAATTATAAACATGTTTATTAAAAGATACCTTTTATATCGAAGCTGCATGATTCTACATGCAGACCCATTATTCTATTCTGCCTAGTAGTGATAGAAACAAACCACAAATTGAGATATTTGACACCTACATAACTAAAAAAGGTTTAGCATACAAATACTTGTAAAGAATATAAATAAGAATCTGTTAAGAAAAAAGGCCAGGCGCGGTGGCTCATGCCTGTAATGCCAGCACTTTGGTAGGCCAAGGTGGGTAGATCACCTGTCGTCATGGCAAAACCCTGTCTCTACCAAAAATACAAAAAATTAGCTGGGCGTGGTGGCGGGCGCCTGTAATATCAGCTATTTGGGAGGCTGAGGCAGGAGAATCGTTTGAACTCGGGAAGCAGATGTTGCAGTGAGCTGAAATCTTGCCGTTGCACTCCAGCCTAGGCAACAAGGGCGAAACTCCGTCTCAAAAAAAAAAAAAAAAAAAAAAAAGGAAAAGAAAAGAGAAAAAGGTGTTTCACAAAATGTTGATATTTGAAAAGATGTTTTACTTCTTTAATCAGAGAAAAGCAAAATCACAATGAGGTGTCATTTCATTACCCTGTAGGCAGCCAAAAATAAAAAACTTAGACAAAATTAAGTTTTCGCAAGTTTGTGGAACAACACGAACTCTAATACACTGCTGGTAGAAGTGAAAATTGCTATAGAATTAGAAAATGCCGTTACACCTTGGCATCATGTTGTAAAATTGAAAAGACCTACACCATACTCCAGGAATTCCACTCCTTCCACTAATGCACAAGTAAGGTACACAAGAATGTGTAGCAGCCAATCCTGGTGTTTCTAGAATTACTCAAATGTCCTTTGAGAAGGGCATTGGAAAATGTATCATAGGTTCACACAGTTGAATGAATAACTACAACCTCATACATCAATGCGGATCAATCACAAAACACAGTGTTAGCTGAAAAAAAAAATCAACAATATGAAACCATTTCTACGAAGATTTAAAACACCGTTGCGCAGGTGTATCAGGAAGCAGCACATAGAGACCTCCTTGGCAATGGAGACTATTTCTTAAATTGGAGGATGAGTTCATAGATGCTGGTTGTGCTTTATAGCTTACATGTGTGCTACATACATATATATGTGTGTGTGTGTATATATGTATGGAATACTTCATAATTGTTTAAAACTAGTTAACGGGAGACGTTGAATGAACCCTACAAAATTTTAACTTTATTACCTTGAGGTTTGGATAATGTGGGACTTTCACTTTCTGTATTACTCATTTCTGGACTATTTAAAACTTATACAATTATGTAAAATGTTTGTATTTGGGGGAAATGATTGCTCAAAGGAAAACAAATTGCATAGAAATCCGGAGCCATTTATTATGAGGGCAATAATTATTGTTTTCAACTTGCATAACTTCTCCAGGTGTCACAAGTTAAAATTGTGTTTTGCATAGTCTGGGCTGCTAACTGTATCATCTTGAGAAAAATTTCCAACCACAATGGGTTTAAAAATATTGGTTTTACTGAAAGCATGAATGCTTTTTCTCTACGAACAATTCCTGGCTTCATCTAATTTACGTTATACTTATTTGCCTTTGGCTCACTTCTGCACTTTTCCCCGTTTTTAAAAGATAAACTGTAAACTGCCACAAATCCTGGACCAGGCGCGCGGATTCCTGTAAATAATGATATAAATAAATAAGTAAATCAACGACTCCCATTCCCAAAAGGCCTTCTTTTCCATTTTTCTCAGGGGCATCAAAGTGCAGTGTGCCCTGCGAGCTCCCACAGGTACGACCCGGAACGTCTGTGGTCCTGCTGGGCCACCGCGTGCCCGGCAGGAAGCGGACGTCCGGGCGGGGGTAAGGGCATTAGCGATCTTCTCGCTCTAGTCCCACCCGAGACCCCAGGCGCTGCAAGGACCTGCCCAGGCCACGGGGTGGGCATCTGGGCGGGAGAAGCTGGGCAGCGCCTGGCGCCACCGAACGTCCGGGACACACGCGGCTTCCTCCGCTGGAGGGTCCTCTCTCCGCGCCTGGGCCTTCACGACCCCTCCCGCGACCTTGGCCCCGAGGCCAGGTGCTTACTTGCCGCTCTCCACGCAGTGGCCGAGACCCGGCTAAGCAACCCGGGAAGCCTCGATAGGGTCATGGCGCCGACTCCCTGAGCCTCCGCGCAGGCGCAAAGCAGTAGGGGGAGGAGCAGGCGGCAGGATCCGGAGCCTTCCTGCGGGGGCTGGGCCTCCGTGGCTGGCTTTAGAAAAGGAGTTAGAGTCATTCCTAGGCTCTTTCGCCAAGAAAGACTCAAGCTACCTTGAACCCCGTATTAAAACGCCAAATCCTTGCTGAAATTAGAAGAGGGAATAATTACGTTCATGCCTGTCAGTCTAAGCCGAAAGGTCCCGTGGAAGATCCCTTTTATAGTTTACAAAGATTGAGCGCCTTTTACTCTCTTACGTAAAATGCTTCTTTTACCTAATTCTCCCTGTTTTGTGTTTTAAATCTTTGTTCAGTCAGCTCCTAGTTCGTCCATTCTGGCCGACTAACCAGATGATATGAAAGGCGACATTTTTGAATGAGGTGCAGAGTAAGAGAAGGCTCTCCATCCAGGCCAGGATCCAGTGCAAGGAGTTCTGCCACTTGACCCTTGTATCCCAACAGCTCTAACAGTGTTGAGTGGTATGTGGCAGACCTGGATGCTTTGTGCAACTCGTGGAAATCTTTACAGAATCATAGTGAAGGCCCCCAGAATTCTGGAATTGTATCTTTTCTTTTTTTAAAAAAAGTTTCTGGCTAGCTATTGGGCCTTGGTTGTCTCTGACCATGTGACATCAAGTGGCTATGCGATCGAAGTTTCTCATCATGAACTGAGAATTATCTGGTTCTCCTAGATAAGGAGATCCTTTCACGAATAGAAAGTGGGCCGGGCATGGTGGCTCGCTCCTGTAATCCGATCACTTTTGGAGGCCTAGGCGGGTGGATCACCTGAGGTCAGAAGTTCGAGACCAGCCTGGCCAACAAGGCAAAACCCCCGTCTCTACTAAAAATACAAAAATTAGCCGGGCGTGGTGGCGCATTCCTGTAATCCCACCTACTCGGGAGGCTGAGGTAGAAGAATCGCTTGAACCCGGAAGGCGGAGATTGCAGTGAGCAGAGAACGTGCCACTGCACGCCAGCCCTGGAGACAGAGCAAGACTCCCATCTCAAAAAAACAAAAAGAAGAGAGAAAGTGAGATACACAGAACTGGGCCAGAGTCAAAACCGAAACAGTTTTCATTTGTAGGGAGCTCACAGTCCTAAGGTCATGCTTTTGACCTTTAGCTTATAGCTACAGTTTAATGATGAATTCCTTGTGGCTAGTTGACTGAGGGAAAAACTCGAAGTTGGATGATGGCTTTGCTTAATAAACTGGCCCGGCTGGCAACGGACTGCTTTTCATATTTAGAGCCTCGCTTAACAGAGGCCCTGAAGGAACAGCAGAGGGAAAAAAAAATTATTTCCAGCATGCATAACTTAGCTTATTTATTTTTATGTTTTTACAGGCCTGCGTCACCACACCTGGCTGATTTTTCTATTTTTAGTAGAGACGGGATTTCGCCATGTTGACTAGGCTGGTTTCGAACTCCTGGCCTCAAGGGATCCACCCCTCTCAGCTTCCCAAAGTGCTGGGATTACAGTGTGAGCCACCGCGCCTGGCCAGAATTTAGTTTATCTTGTCTTGTATGCTTTGCCTAAAAAGAGATACAGCTTGAGATAAAAATTTACATCATTTCATAGGCAGTGACTGGTTTGTCAAGTGGCTAGGAACTGGGAATGTAAACGTTTTGGACTAGGTCTTTGGAAGAGGGCCTCTCAAAGTAGCCCCAGAGTATGAAAACATTTGGGTTCTATTGAATGTTAAACAACAACAACAACAAAAAAGGCTTCCATTGCAGAAAGGCTCTTAATCAGAACAAGATTATTATATTAGTTATCTATTGCTGCCTCACAAATTATCCCAAAATTTACTGGCTTAAAACAATAAACAGTTATTCTCTGACAGTTTTTGTGGATCAGGAATCTAGAAGCCAGAGTGACTGTGGTTCCGGGTCCTAAATGAGGTTGCGGCCGAACTGTTGGCTGGAGTCCCAGTCTCATATAAATGCACAACTAAGGGAGTATCTGCTTCCAAGCTCGTTCACATGATTATTGGCAAGATTTGGTTCCTTGTGGACTTTGGACTGGAAACTTTCTCAGTTATTTGTTAAGTGGGCTTCTCCAAAGGCTATCTTGCAACATGGCAGCTGGCTTTCCACAGGACAAATGAACTAAAGAGCAAGGAAGACCCCTCAAAATGGATGCTCTGACCTTCTGTAATCTCATCTCGGTAGTGACATCCCACCACTTCTACTGTATTCTATTATTAGGTCCAGCCTACTCTCAAAAGGGGATTACACAGGGGCTGCAACAGTGACCCATTCTGTGGACATCACTCAGCCTCCTTCCCCCACAACAGCTGTGGACTCAGTAACAAGGTAGCCATGGTGGCAAGAATAGAGACATACATGTACTTTTAACACCGTCTTTCTTCTGTCATGACTGCTTGGCTACTACCACTACTTACCAACTGCAGTGACCAACTTGATCCCCTGATATACTTTTATGTGGCCTGGGTGGCAGGTCTGACAATGAAATCCTACTGTTATGAAGGAGGATTTATTCTTACAGGAATAAATTTATTCTTACAGGAACAGACAATTATTCTGCATTTAGAGTGCTTTCCTTGATTTATGCTTGCTATATACTCCACCTGTGGACTTACTGAATACCTTAACACACTACTCCATGTTTAATACAATATCCTACACAACATTGCTTCTTACCGAAGAACTCATTTTCCCGTGAAAGATGTAAAGCAGGGGACTAATGCCTGCGGGATTCACAGTCTTATGTATTCCATCATCCAAAAGCAACCGATTTTATGAAATGACGGACAACCTTATTGAAGGTTGTTTTGGAACCAGGTGAGAAAATACACTTTGGGATACTGCCCTAAAGGATTTGTCATATTTTCCAAATGAATTAACGGTATTTGGTGATATCTCTTCTGTTGACAGAATAACAGAGATCAGAGTAGAAAAGGGTCTGACTTCTTGCTATTGCGTTTGACTCACTGATATATTTTGCTTTCCATTGTGGGAGAGGAGAGACAAGCTCCCATGGCCACTGAACATGCCTATATATTATTACTGAGTGTGCCAGACTGCAAGTCTTATCCATCTCCTGATACTAAGCAGTTTCTGTAGCTAGTCATATAGGCACCTAAGTAGGTCAAGGCAGTCACGGTATTACTACCATTTAACTGCTGCTACCTGGGGGAGAGAGACTAGCTTGTTTGTTGTTTGTTTAAAAACCGCTTGATTCTTGATCCTGGATTCTTCTGTAATGCAACCCCTAATGTGCATATACGTCATCTGGCCCTCTGCATCACACTGTGGGAATTGGGCTACAGGAACTGATGCAAATATGCGAACACTCTGGCTTCTATTTTGCTGTAATAAAGCTGTTTTGTCTTTTGCCCAGGAGTATCCTGTCAGCATCCATGAAACTGCAGCAACCTAGCCTGTAACCTTGCAAGTAGGATAAAATCTCAGACCCTTTACTGCGCTTGCCAGCCATCTCTGTGACTCCAGGTTCTGTTGGCATAGCAATTTTTGTGCCCAGCTGGAATTGCCACTCAGCCATTTTGAACTCATTCCTCTAGGTAAGGTTAGAGAAAGTGGTGATGATGCTAGCTGGAGTGATTGTCCCTGATGACCATGGAGAAAAGAGAGTAGGGAGAAGAGTATAACCAGAAGTCAGGGGGTCTCCTGGAATACCTCCTCGCAATACCATGGTTTTATATTTTATTTTAAAAAATACCATGCTGAATGGTAAAAGTTACATATAAGACGATTACAACCATATATCGGCAAGACCACCCACACCTCAGAGCCTCTGTCATCCACTGGATACATAAATCTGACCAGCAGAGGTGCTGGTTGAACACAAAGAAAACAGAAAATAGTTGGCAGTGGTGAGAAGTCATAACCATCCAGATTCACGACCAGTGACAGGACTGAGTACTGTATTTGCGATGTGTTATTAAGAGAAATTTGGGACATAAAACGTGATGCTGCTTTTACACTATCCTGAAAATTTTCATTCAGTTGGTCTGTAATAAGGTCCTGGAATGTGTATTTTTAAAGTAGTCCAGGTAATTCTTACCATGGACACTTGCAAAGAACTGTTCTATTTTCTTCCTCACTGGCTCATGCATGTCTATAAAATTTTATTTCGTATGTATATATATATTTTAGTTGGGGGTCTCCCTGTCACCCAGGCTGTAGTGCAGTAACTCACTGCAGCCTGGAACTCCTGGACTCAAGTGATCCACCCACCTCAGTCTTCCAAGTAGCTGGGACTACAGGTGCATGCCACCAGGCTCAGTTAAATTATTTTGTAGAGATAGGGTCTTGTTATGTTGCCCAGGCTGGTCTTGAATTCCTAGCTCAAGCGATCCTCTCACCTCAGCCTCCCAAAGTGCTGGGATTACAGTCATAAGCCACTACACCCAGGTTCTTTCCTCTCTTATCATACTGTTATGATGTATAGGGGTGGGGGTTAGGTCACAATTTTATGAGTTGCAAACTATTGAGATGAGATTATTACAGAATCAGAGAACATCACACTGAGGTCCTGGACTTAAAACTGGATGAGGGATAGTAGTACTATGTCAGAAAGATGAATTTTCAATGTGTACATATGGAGAGAGAATTATGCTTGCAGATGTTGGGAAGAAAAAAGATGGACTACATTACACCTGATGTGTTTATATTTGGTGCTGTCATCAAACCAATTTCCTATGTTTGGTTAACCTTGGTAGAATCAAGGGTCCTATTTTCTACTGTGGAAACTAACGAGGTCAGATACACCTGCTGTCTTTGATGCCTGACAGCCCAAGCACTGGCACAAGACTTAAACTTGGTCAGTTGGATATTCTACTACACTTTGAATCTGAAGTAATAAAACAAGTACTTGAAATCCAGTTTTCAGGGTCATCCTGGCTAGAGAAGAATACAGTCGTTTAGGTCTTTTTGAGGTCATCAGAACTTGGCTATGATTTTGGTCATCTACTTTCCTTTGG